GCGCAAAACAGAAGCCTGTATCGAGGCAAGCTGCACGTCTAGGGCATTTATACATGTGCTCCAGGGTGCGGGGGAACACTTTAATTAAAGCGATTGTGAGAGCCGTGTTATGTGTATTCAGCGTCCTGCATTTCAAAGTAGCGGTGGGGGGCACTTTAACTAAAGCTCCTTGAATGAGCTTTAGTTCAAGCGCCCCTGCCGCCATTTTGAAACATGGGGCCACTGAATACATGTGACGCAGAAGCTGCTTGAGTGTGCTAACGAGCACGCTCCAGCAGACTCTTTTCATTGAGTCTGCTTTCACCAGGGCACCCAAGGGGAAAACCAGGAGTAATGGCTGCAAACTTTTGGAAGATCGATTCAGGCTCAACATTAAGAAAAACTTCTTCACAGTCAGGGTGTCCAGACTGTGGAATAAGCTCCCTCCAGTGGTGGTGCAATCACCTACCCTGCTTCAAGAGGAGACTAGACAGTCACCTTGCTGGGGTCACCTGACCCCCAGTTATATTTCCTGCTTGGTGCAGGGGGCTGGACCCAGTGATCTTCTGAGGTCCCTTCCAGCCTTAAAATCTATGAATTTATGAGTCTGCTCCAATGCGTGCAAATTAGCACATGTGGGAGCAGCGGTCTGTCACATGTATAGGTGCCCCTAGTTCTGAATCTTGCCTTCATGGATTATCTTAGTCCATGATCAGTTTGATTCGGGTTTTATCTCGGTTGGGATTTTAATGTATAGAATATGATTCTAAATTGTGCTTACCATTGTCCAGTCAGAGCTTGTGTATTGCACTGGACTGAGATCTGTTTAATTCAATCTTTAGAATTCAGTTTTAAGAGAAACCAAGCTGTTCCCAATCCCTGCATCGTTGATACTTTGGCATGTTATGCTCTGAGTAATTCTCATTTTGCAAGCCTGTCATACGTATTTTATGTATATTGCCAGCCAAGGTTTCTTCTGGTTATCTCAAGGAAACATTTAATGAAACAGTTTTCATTTTTAGTAGATTGATTGGGCATTTTGTTGCTTTTTGCAAAGGAAACCCCTTTCATAAGGTAGAAGACTTTGGGGTGTAAGTGGTTATAAGGGGAACTGGAAATTGGGACTCTTGGGTTGAAATTCTGGCGTGTGTTAGACATGAGGTCAAACTGGATAACCTGAGGATTTCTTTCAGCTGTAATGTTCAGGTTTTTTTCCATAGATTAACCTCATTTTTTGTTACGCTTCTCAGTTCCTTCTTGGAGGGACCATGTTGTAGAGCCCTTGAGAGACCCAAACCCTTCAGATCTCTTGGAGGTATGTGATTAATAAATGGCTTTGTATTTGTTCTCTTCCATCTCCTTCATGCATGTGCGCATATATACATGTACAGCTTAGCTATAATAAAAACAGATATTTTGCCATTGGTCCAGTTTCCTGGTTTTAAAGTAAGAGCTTAAACAAGTTTGTGTCTTGTGGAGTTTCTTATTGCTCTAGGGAGGCATTGGGTATGTATGACCAATGTGGAAATACTAGGTTTTGTTGCTAGACTAAGAGTCCCTTTATTCTTTCCAGCTTTATAGCAAACAGCAGCAACCTGTCAGAACTTTTATTTGATGGCTACTGAACTGTTTGAGCAAATACATGCTTTAGTTTTACAACAAGGTGTGGCTGTGGAGAGTTGACTCACCAGTTTCAACACAGAGCTTTTATTTTTATTTGGATTTTGATGTTCATGTTGCAATTACTCTGTCAGCCATCCCTGTGTTAAAGGGAAAACAGACTGCAGCAGGTGAAGGAATGTATTCTGGACTGCTGGGCAGGAGAGCACTAACCACCTCTGTTCTCTTTGCAGAATCTAGATGACAGTGTATTTTCCAAAAGGCACGCAAAACTGGAGCTGGATGAGAAGAGGAGGAAAAGGTGAGGGCAACAATTCATCCCTTCAACAACATGTGCTCTTCTCTCCTGCTCCATGTGCTGAATGCTGCAATTATAGGTGTTATGGTCTCTGAACCTGCAGAACCTTTTAAGGATTTGCTGAAACTTCTTCAGAATCCAATGTGTTTGCACACATTGAGGATGGATTCTGAACAGTAAAAGCTTAGGTGGGCTAAGGGCTTTCTGTTCTAGTTCTTCATTTGTTTTTTTTTTAAAAGCCTCTCCTTCCTTCTCTTCAGCCCATCGAGGGTGAGGAGAGGAATACAAAAAATGATATGGAGTCTGCAAAACATGCTTGAATGTGTGACTCAAAAGTTCCAATTTAGTTTTATTATAGAGAAGTTTGATAGCAGTTTGCTAAGGCATGTAGTTAAGTTCTCCAGTGCTTGGAGTTTTGAAAGTGCAAAAAGACTGCACTTCGTTCTAGGTCATCCACAAGCAGTTAAGTTGGGTGAAATGTCCTGGCCAGTTAGACAAGATCCCAGGCTGGATGATCATAACACCTTCATGAGCTTTGTTTGTTGTGTTCCTAATGATAGCCTAGAAGCAACAGAGGATTGTAGAAGCTGGCTATGACTTAGTGTTAGATGACTTGCTACTGTAGGATTATGGTTAGAATATACAAGGAAACCAGCTAAGTCCTTTGTTTTTCTTCTTCATTCATGCACTAGGAATAGTGTCAGCAAGAAGCTTGTGTGGCACTGAGATTGACAAGAACTTGTACTCCGTTTTGGTGGGGGGCAGTGATCAGAATGCTGGCTAGTTACTTCCCAGTAACTGAGTGGGTGTTTAGTTTACAGTCTTTATCAAATTAGAGCAGAACTATTTTAAGTTTGAATGACCATGCTTCTTAGAGATTACTCCACTTTCTTTGTGTCATCTGTCCAGGGTGGATTTGATTTAAATCAAATCAATTTAAATCCTAATTTAAACCACTGGTCAGGAAGCCACAATTTAATCATTGTTTTCTACAAAAAGTGCATTCCTGTTGTTTGATATACTTTATTCATTTAACTTTTTGAAACTGTACTTTTAGAGAGTAGTAAGGGCTTGACTCTGTACCCAAATTTACAGAGACAGAGGGCTGATGGGTCGGTAATCAGGTCTGTTATCTCTCATCTCCATATACTGCTGTTAACAAGGATGTTATCTCTGGAGACACAGATCCACAGTTTTGCAGAGATGCTTAGTGGGATCTTCTAGACTGAGCACTGAGTCCCATTGGGTAGAGTGGTTTTCTTTAATCTTTACTAATCTATAGAGGAGCCTCTGGGAACCGCGTAAGATTGGGCCCCTAATATAGTCTATGGCGTGTTGTGACCTATTTATAAAATGTTTCTAAAAAGGTTACATTAATATATTGTCTCAAATACTATATAATTAGAAGTTATAATCTAAATTATAATCTTTAAATCTGTTGAGTCTTTTCATGGTGATATCTTTGAGCTTTAACACATCTTAAATTGAAATGATCTTTATATATGTTTATTTTTTTAAAACGATCTTAATAAAAAATAAAAATATATGAGTAAATAAAAAAATCCAATGTAAATTAAAAAAAAAATCATTGGGTTTTATCCACCCTGCATCTGTCCTGTGAAAATAAAAGCAAAACTACTAGAGTTTGGGACTGGGGAATTGAGAGCTAGGACTCCTGAATTGTTGCAGGCCCTGCCACTGACCTTGTATGACCTTCAGCAAGTCACTCATCCACTTTATGCCTCCAGTTCACTGTATTGTAAAATGGTCCTCCTGACCCGGCCTACCCCCTAGGCATATCATTTGGCCTAATCAGGAAAAGTCTGTAGAGTCTTTTGAGATCCTTGAATAGGTGGTAGCACAAAGCTGAATAAAGTTTCTTAACTGCCTGGGTTTTATCTTTCAGATGGGATATCCAGAGGATCAGGGAACAAAGAATTCTACAGCGACTGCAGCTCAGAATGTATAAAAGGAAAGGAATTCAGGAATCTGAGCCTGAAGTTACCTCATTTTTCCCTGAGCCAGATGATGGTGAGTTCCTCATCAAACATGAATAGGGAGAGTGTGCTGTAAATCAGCTGGTCTCTACTTATATCCTAATTGTCCACGTAGATAAGCGTGCAGCTTAATAACCTTCTTTTATTGTATCCTTCTCCTAACAGTGGAAAGCTTGCTGATTACCCCCTACTTGCCTGTTGTAGCATTTGGCCGACCATTACCAAAACTAACCCCACAGTAAGTATTTTCCCTTTTGTAAAACTTAGATGTACCTCCTCTGAAAGCACAAGATGAACTCCCCTTCCAGATTCATCTAGAAATGATGTTCAGTAGAACCCAGCAGCCACTGAGTCCTAACTGAGCTTTCAAAGAGTGTCCAGGCTGGTCAGCAGCTCAGTATTTTCCTGTCCAATCGTTCAGTTAGTGTATTAGGTAAGGGGAATGCGGTACAAAATGGCACCCCTGTGACTGAATGTTTAAATGTGGTGCTGCCAGTCCAGGAGTGCAGTGGCTATAGCTCCTTTTTGTGCTTGCCTGTCCCCCTAGTGGCTACCCTAGGATAGCATTGGAGATGGAGGACATGCCATTCCTATGAAAAGGAGTGAAATTTATGCTGGAGGGAATGGGGCCAGAAGGAAGCTTTGGAAAATGCCCCCTTTTCCAGAGCAGTTCTGATCACCATGTCCCTTCCTCTGGCAAGTTTATTTCTTCCTACACTGGTGCCTGATAGCATAAAATAGAAAAACAAGAAAACAAAAAACCCATATGGCTGCAGGACATTTTATAGCAAATGTGAAGTAATTCTGTGTTGGGGGATATTGAAATTACAGCTGCTTTTGGCCTTGGGGCTAGAGCTCTTAGCATTAAATATGTCAAAGGACAGTTCTGTTAGGTTTTTCTTACCTTTGACCAATGCTCTTTTTGTGGGAGTTACACCCTGTAGAAAATCAGCTATATCATCTCCTTGAAAACACAGCCTATCTAGTTTTGTACTGAACGTTTTTTTTTGCTTTTTTTGGGTTGCGGACTAAGGCCCTTTATCTTGTCTGACAGAAACTTTGAGCTGCCCTGGCTGGATGAACGAAGCCGTTGTCGGCTGGATACGCAAAAGAAGCAGACGCCTCACCGAACGTGCAGAAAATAACTGCGTGGACAAGAGAGCTTTGCATTGCAATGGGTGTAGCAGGCCATTTGTAACAAGTGGCCAGGGACTTTATATGTTGTTCAGTCACATGACTCTTTGCCCTCATGTATATTCTTGTTTGCTGATTCCTACCCCCCCATGCCTCTCCTTCTGTTTTTTTTGTTTTGCTTTCATTCTACAAAAAAACTCTTTACCTAGCTAATTAACTGTGGCTTTGTTCTTTTAGTTTTTGTTCTCTCTTTCCTTGGTAGCAAGCTCTCAAGCTTTTACGCTGAAGCAGTAAGGCTGGAAGCTCAAGTGGCATCTTTTTGCTGCTTGTGCAAGCTTTTTTTCTAGCTGCTGTGGCCACTACCGTTTTGTAAGAGGCCTTGTGAAGGTAGGTGAGCCTAAAAAACAAAACAAAACAGAAGGCCTGGCTTGACAGCTGGCCCACCTGTAAGTTCTCCTCATGGTCATTGCCTGCCTGTTGGCTCAGCAAGTGGTGCCCATCACTCCTGCAGCTGCCTTTTTTTTATGACATGCAGCTTGGAAGCTTAAGGTTTTAGAGTGAAGGGAACTCATAAGCCCAAATCTTGCATGGTGAGAACTTGCAGATGGGGACCAACCTTAAGGTACAGCAGGCCAAGTTAGGCCAATTCCCCTCACACCGTCACTCCAAAACAAAAACCAGTCTGAGGAAAGTTGGCTTGGTTGCAACTTCCTCTTGCCTGACAGATCAGGCTTCTATTATTGTGCCTGTGTTGTGCGCTTTTTTTTTTTTTTTTTTTTGCTGCTGCTTGTGTTTTCTTTT